GCAACTGTGAACTGGGCAGAGGAGTGTTGCAGCCTCCTTGCTATCAGTTCTGGGTTATCAGGAGTGCCCACGCATGGTCTTGCTGCAGGCTGCATGAGCATCAGAACTAAAGCCATCCTGGAAAGCAACAGCTGAAGCCCCTCCACACACACACACTTTTGTTTGGCTCTTTGCACCCACGGAGGCCTATAGAAAGTTTCAAAGGGCTGGCTTCAGGCTTGACTCAAAGCTGGAGAGAACGGCTCAGCACTATTCAACTGCATAAGCCATGAACAGCCAAATAAGCATTATCAAAGCAGGCACGAGGTCTGAAAGGCATCGGAACCCGAAAGGGAGCATCCAAAGGGAGCAGCAGGTGAGATTTGCAAGCGCCCTACCACCTCTTCTGCCCCTTTTGGAAGCCAATGGCAGGAATACTGCATGCCAAGCAACACACCCTCTCAGATGCGTGCTCATTGCACACTTCTGCTTCAGGAGAGCCAGATCTCCCTATTCCTTTCTGCAGCGCTGAGCACTCCATGTCTCCCCACCACTTTCTGGGGGTGGAGGGAGGGAGATGACAGGCCATTGCAGCCGCCTCCCCACCCAGCCCTGCACCGCCTACACAGCCACCCAGCCCTGCACAGGCAGCTCCAGCATTTTTTAGCCTTATATGGAGTGGCCGGCAGGCAGTGGCTCCTCTATCCCAACAGGATCCTCCTTCCACGGGGAGGGAAGCGAACATCCCTCCCTCCACATGCTCAGTGGCCCAGCCCCTCCCTCTCCCAGACTGCCCCCCCACTACATCCTGCCTTCCAGGGGAAAGGAGGGAACAGCCTTCCAGCCCACCCTTCTGCTTGTCCAAAACCAAGAAGGTGGTACCACAGTGAGCAGCACAACCAATCTGATATTCGCAGGGAAGGATGGAGGCCAATCCTCTTCCATCCCCATTCAAGGGCTTGCTTCCTTATACCATATAGCTCTTTTCCCATCACCTGGGTGCGTGCGTATGCGCGCGCGCGCGCGCACACACACACACACACAGAGTGCCCCCAGACCTGGACTATCTATTTCTAGCCTGCAGACATGGATATTTTTCTGCCTCAGCTTCTCAACAATTGCTGCCAGGCCTGGTCTGAGTCAGCGTCTGTGGTTCAGTGACTCACTGCATCAAAGAGCAAGGCTGGATTCCAGTCTCCCCCTGCCCTCCCTGCCTTCCATTGCCACAGATCCAGAGGAGGTGGGGGTGGGCAGGAAAAGAAGATGATCTCCGCTTCAGTGCGCCTCCTCCCTGTCTAACCCAGGACCCCTTTAGTCTGTCCAGGTACTGCCACATTACCACTCAGCTAGCATGCATGCCACTGCAGCCAAGCTTGTCCTATTACCCCCTTCCTCCCCCAGGCATCTGGGGAAGCAGAGCACATGCAGCCTTGTCAGCTGGGCTGCTCAAGAGCATTCCCTGGCATCTTCCTTGCCAGTGATGGAACAGCAGAACCCTGCAGGAAGGCAAGTCCGCCAGTGCCACAGTTCCTCCTCCCCAGCCAGCAGTAAGTAGTTCATCCAACTCTGAATGAGCAAGAACCCCAGACCACCTGCAACTCCAGGCCCTGGCTGATTTTATTGTTTTTCGCATGTATATCCCACCTTTTCCCCCAGGGAGTCCAAGGTTTCAGCCTCCTCCATTTCCTCCTAACAGCCACCCTGTGTGGTTAAGAGCGAGTGGCGCAAAGTCATGCAGTCACCTTCATGGCCCCGCGAGGACTAGAACCCAGGTCTGTCCAGTCCCACTCAAGTAGGGGGCTGCCTGACTCTTGAACCACCCAAGAACTAGTCACAGCTGCATCCACTTTCCTGGAGGCGCTTGATACACTCCTGCTGCAACTTGTAACCAGGAGCGTCTTCAGGTGTTATCCCTGTTGATGCTGCACCAACATCCTGCCTTGTTTCTTCTCATAAGGCGACCAAGGGAGCTGACAAGTTCTCCTTCTCTGCACTATCCTCTCAACTACTCTAAGATAGCCGAGGCAGAGTTGGGCCTGAAGGCACACCGGACGTGGGGACCAGAACCTAAACCTCCCAAGTCCCCGTCCAACATGCTTTCCACCACGCCACATTGGGTCATATCCAGATTCGGATGGGCTGCTTTCAGTTACAAACTGTACAGGCTACATTCTAGTTTAGTGCGCGCGAGGGCTCTCGTGCACTGGATTTTCATTCCTCCCAAACAGAGACAGAGTCTTTATCCAACCAAGATGTCAGAAGTGCAGAAAAGATCAGAGTGCCAACACAGGGAAAACTCCTCCTGGTACCTACCACACAGATCGGTAGCAGCACCTTGACCTAAGACACTGCATCAGTCAATAAGCAGCAGTTGATGGTAGGGCTTTAACATCTCTAATACATCATTTTGCCCTTCCCCTATGCCAACAGAGGCACTCCTAGATTGGCATGCGGCCTGCCAGATGTGGTTGGACTCCACTCCCATCAGCTACAAGCAGCATGGCCAATGGTCAGGGATGATGGAAGCTGCAGCCCAACACCACCTTCAGGACCATACAGTCCCCATTCCTGCCCTAGACTGACACCTTGCTGAAATGAGAGGGGCCATACCCCTTGTCCCCTGTGCAGAGCCACCACCAGACCACTATGGACACAGCTTCGTCCCTGGAGAGGATCCAGACCACTTCCCTGGAGTGAGCTATTTATAGCCCTGCAGCAAGCCCAGGAATGAGAATGCCCAGAGCAGAAATAGACCCAGCTGCTAATCTTGATAAGAGACCACTGAAGCCTCATGCAAGACTAACACAGCCATGAAACCAGTTTCATTTCTGGAGAGCCAATGAGAACATCAACCACAATTCCCCTCTGCTATAGCCAGCACAGCTAGTGCTGAGAATTGAGGCCATTCAGAAGTACTGGCCTGCAAGCTGCCCTCCCATGATGCAAGGACACCCCCAAGACCATATTAAGGGGCCACAGCATAGCTTTGGCCACACCCAGACAAGACTTGAGTCTCTTCCTCCACTTCTTGCATGGCCTTCCCTGAGATGATGCAAGAAGCAAGGCTTCCCTGCACCCTTAAGAGGAGATTTTAAAAACCCATCAGTCCAAATCTATGTGGCCAGGGATCTACCAATACACCATCTAGCTTCCTTCGCTGGATCCCCAGACCATAAATGCCACCAGCTTGGATGCTCTGCAGATTGCCCAAGTGTGCAACCTCCAGGCACATGTTCTGCAGATATTACCATGCCATGAAGCTGAATGATCTCAACAGCAGAGGGCGGCTCATGGCTACCTGCTCTCATCTCTTTAATCCCAGGATCTGCCAATTTGAACTTCTGTTTCAAATGCTGGTAATGGGTGCCAGGTTGTATGGAATGGGCAGGTAACCCCCCATGTGGAGAAATAGGGTGTCTTTACATTCAGTCTAAACTCCTTTTAGCCACTCCCAAAGTGAGGCAGATAGCTAGGGTGGTAAACCTACAACCCTGCAGGTGTTATTGGATGCCAGCTCCCATCTGGAGGGCCACAGATTGCCCAAGGCTGGTATACACAGCTGTCAGCAGACTAGATATATTCAGGGAGGGACCTCCTATCTCTTTAATACTCAAAAGGCTGGGCCAGGCTAGCAAGGAAAAGGTTTAAAGCTTCTCATCTTCTCCTTAAGACACAGGTAGGGAATCAAAGGCTCTCTGCTGCTGCTGTGACTTAAGCTCCCATCATGCATGAACAGTGGCCTCACAGGTAGGGTATGCTGAGTGTCTGATGGTCCAAAAACTTCCAGCTTCCTTGAGATTTCCCCCATTCCTGTAATAAAGCTATAGTAAGGCACATAAAAGCAGCTCACCCACCAGGGACAAACCCCCAGATGAGCAACCATACCACTATAGTACAGCTGGATTTCCCAGGGCTGGAAGAACACAGCATCCTGCTTGATACAGTCCCAACCACCTCCTCGCAACCCGCGCAAAGACCCAGAGGGCGACACCCCGCAAGGCGGAGGACAAAGGCATCACGTGCCTACGGCGCCCCAGAAGGCTCTCCGAAGGTGGGCCGCCAACTCGCACTAGCCGAGTAACAGGAGTCAGAAGTCAGCTGCTAGGCCACATGTCCTCTCTAGCCACAGATTCTCAGCAACTTTGTTCACGATCTGGCGGCAAACCAGCTTTTTTGTGGGGGGAGGGGGCTAAAAAGAGGGAGACATAAAAAAGCTGGTCCAACCGGAAAAATGAGCTTTTGCATGGAACTTGGGGGTGGCGGGTTTGCGTGAGCAGGGAAAGCAAGACATCCAGAACCATCGATGAATCAAAAGCATCTGGAGCTTGGAAGCCTCGCGCGCCCCGCCCCCTCTCCAGAGAAGTCAGCGGACTCCTCCGAAGTTACGGCGCGCAAAGGTGGGCTAGGCCAGAATGGGTCGGGGGCGGGGAGAGAGGCGGGAGAGGCTGGCGGACGCACCAGCGCGATTTGAGGCTGGGGCTAGGGAACGGGATCGCCCCTTTTCCGCAGACAAAAAGCCTGAAACCAGAGCCGCCACCCCGGCACCCTCCCCACCACACCCAGATGCGGCGACCGACGGCCAGCCCCACCCCTCCGCCAGGACCCGGCCTGTGAAGTCTCTTCTGCCTACTTCCCGCCCACAGCTCACACGCAAACTTTCTCCGTAAAGGACCCCTCCTGCTTGCAGAAACGCCCCCCCCCCCAGACAAGCCCAAGCGCCCGAGCGCGTCCTCCGCGAAGTGGCGCACGCCCCCGCTGACTGGAAGGACTTCGAAGGGAGCCCCTCTCCTCTCCACCTGGGTCTCGCCAGCGAGGGGCATCACGGTGCCTTCCCAAGGCCAGCTGCTCGCAGAATCCCCCCATCTTTGTCAAAGACCCCTGCAGAGAAAGCTGGTTTGGGAGCATCGACCCCGCCCCACCCTCCTGCAGGCACCTCATCCCTTTCTGGGTGTCGCTTCGACTCCCCTCTTTCGCCCTTCTCCCACAATCTGTGCCCCCCCCCGCCCGCGGACGAGACTTACCAATAGAGACCAGTTTGATGTTCTCCCTCTCAAGGAACTCCAGCGCCACCGACACGTTCTCTAGCTGCATCTGCCGGAAAGTGGGGCGCGTATTGTACTTGCGCCCCATCTTCTTCTGACTCAGCACTTCGAGCAGCGCGATGAGGCGCAGCCCGTCGCCCAAGTCCGTCTGCAAGTTGGCGATGCGCTTGTTGACGCATTTGAGGTGCTCGTTGCACCAGCGAGTGAAGGTGTTCTGCTGGATTTTCTTCCAGGGCGCGTCCTCGGCCAGGTCCTTCTCGGTGGCCGGCATTTCGGCAGCGACCTCCCCCTGGCTCCCGCCTGCTCCTCCACCGACGCCTCCCGCTCCTGCGGCCTGATGGAGCCGCGTTTGAGAGCCGCTCATTATAACGGCTGGGCTTGGGTGTGGGTGGGACCCCGGCGCTGGGTGGGTTGGGCCCGGGATTAAAGGCACAGGATCCTACAGAAAAGGAGAGGGAAGCGGTATTGCGAGTGTTAGTAGCACCAGAGTCGGCGGCGTTGCTGGAGCATACATTCCCCCCCACCACACAGTCCCCTCAGGCAGCAGGGGCTGCAAAAACTGGGCCGGGGGCATCGTTATGCTGAGGCACCAGGGAGGCCACCAATCTGCCCAGAAGGGCACCTAGCGAGGAGGCGAGCGCGTCCAAGTTGCGCGCTCCTCAGGCACGGTTCTCAGGGCAGGAATTCCCGCAAGAAGCGCCGTCCGTGCAACGCACACCTTTCCTTGCTTCGCAGCAGGGTCTCCACTGAAATATTGGGATTTAGGGCTTGGCTGCAAAAACGCCCACTCGCCTCACCCGCTAAGCGGGATCCCGCAAGAGGAGGAAGAGGGCAAAACCTAGGAAACCACCAACAACTGGCTAGTTCTGTCAGTCAAGAATGCCAAGCGGAACTTTCATGTTCCGAGGCAGTTCACGTCTAATACCGAAGAGGGGCAGCTGTTGCTGCTGCTGCGAGAGAAGCCGTGTACGGCTCCTCTTTCCTCCTGTGTGAGTGTCCTATAGGAGTGCTCACAATGGCTGGACGGAAAGCGGGTTCGATCCGGCGGGGTTCTCTTCTGATGCTCTTAATGCAACTATCCCCAACTTGGTGCCCACCATCTGGAGGGCAGCGAGTTGGCGAAGACTTTCTTGAAGCAGTGTATGAGTAGGAGGGACAACTGACGACAGTAGAGACGTGGAAGAAGGCCTGGGTGAGAGTTAAAACGATGCCGAGCCCTTGCCGTGGGTTCTCGGTTTGTTGCGACGGCGGCCTGGGGGGCGGGGGCGTGAGGGAACAGACTTTCCAAGAGGGAAGTGAGCAAAAAGAGAGTCCGATTTGGGAAATCACACAAACTGACTCACGAGCCAACACTCATCTAGGCGCAGCATTCACTGATTCTTCCACGCCGTAGAAAAGAGGGCGGTACTGGAGAGAGGGAGTCGCGTTGGGGAATGAATGGAGACTGGTCGTCTTTTTCTTGGCGGCTGCTCTCACCTTTTTTTCAAGGCGGAGGATTGCAAGCCCCAGGCTCGAAGACTGGGGTACTGCTCTGGGGGGAGGGTAGGGGGCATTGAGGAATCGCAGAAACGGGAAGAGAAGTCATTGCCTGGCCTAGCTCCCGTCCCCATTGCTGCCAGGGTTGGGTTTTACGCACAAGAACATGTACACCCGCAGCCACGCACCCTGCAGCACTCAACCTATACAGGAGGAAAAACGAAACTTGCCCAGTTAGGAAGGCAGATCTGAAGCTGAGGGATTCAGACGTTTGGGTGATTTAGAGTGGCTCAGCCACCCCCACCTGGAAGGCGCCAGAGGAACACCGCCGGGCCAGTAAGCGCACGTCTCCCGAATTCCTGCGCGGTGAGGCCCCGCCGAATGGGAGCTGCCCCCTTGGGAAGTCGCCTCCTCCCCTCGAGCTTCCACACCCGGCCCGGCCCGGCCCAGCGCAGAAAAAGACACGAGGGGGGGAATCCCTCCCCAGAGAACCTCCAGGCGATGGAAACTCAACTGGTAGCGGGCCTGCGAGTGCGTCTACCTGGCTGGGTGGCTCCGTGTTCCCGGGCCAAGTCCCATCTATGCAAGATCAGGGGAATCTTTTATCTGCTCCTTCTGCCAGACCCCATCCTCAAGACTCTGATGGAGCCCTCTCATCTTGTCACCATCACCCTTCCAGCCTGCCCCCCCCCGTCCTCCCTCCCCCCCCCTCCCTCTCTCTCTCTCTCTCTCACACACACACACACTCAACCAATACACAAGATCGAGTTGCCTTTGTTCTGAGGCTTAGAATCCTGGCACAAGTAAGAGAAATGAATGCAGCAGAGGCACTGAGGCCCAAGGGTTCCATGCGAAGCCTTCCCAAAGCATTGGCCTTCTCCGGCGAATGATTTGTTTTCATTCAACACCCTAATTTCTCAATAAAGACTTCAGTTGCTTCTGGGCATGTGCAGAGTCCACTCGTTAAAGGGCATCATCATTTTCAGGTTCCAGAGCATCAACTGTAACCGTGAAAATGGCAGAGAGACTAACGTTACGGCCATCAGCTTTTGTTCAATGTGTCTGATTTTCAAGGAGAGGGAAACTCTCGGCAGCTCTACTTCTTAGAAAATTAACTCAGTGCAACAAAATGGAGTTTGTGGGAAGCTGCCTTGATACAGGGGTCAACTCATCAATTCTGTCAGGGAACAGTTCCTGCTGGGGCATGCAGGGAATTACATGAGTTTTTCCTGTCTGACCATCCATAAGGTTGCTGGCTGCTCTGGCTGGTATAGTTCCTCCCCCTCTGGTAGGCTCTTTTTCCAGCCAGTGCTAATGGATACCATCTTACCTTTGCTTCATCCCACCCTCTTCCCTCCCTGGGCTAGGAGAGTACACCAGGCTAATCTTAGTCAGAGCTTGCTTGCATTCTTGCCACAGCATTGCCAATTGATTCTGGTCTCCCATAACATGCTACCAAGAGATGAGCTGGCAGGGGGCCTTGACCTCGGGGGGGGGGGGGCAGTCATGAACCTTCATCAGTATGATGTGAGGGGAGACACAGATTTGGGCTCAGTTTATCAGGACATTTCTCCGTGTGCCTACAGCATAACAGCTCAGTCACACTCCTATGTAGCTCCCATTCGTTTCCATGGGACTGGTGTAAGATTGTTCCATTGTGGTCTGTGCCCCATGTTAATTGGTGGAGCATGCGGTAGACGATTTGGACTTTCTCCCCAAACACATATTTATCAGGATGAATATATATCCCATCTTTTCTGTCCTCACAAAAAGCCCAAGAGGGTGTAGCCTTCCTTTCCATTTTATCCTCACAACAACCCTGTGAGGTAGGTTAGGCCAAGAATGAGTGAAGTCACCAAACAAGTGGGGTTAGAACCCAGGTCTCCTGAGTCCCAGTCCAGTGTGCTAACCACCATGTCACATTGGCTCTCAAAGGCCAGCCTCCCATCTGGGGCTGGCCTTGTACTCTGTGGGTTGTACCTAATTTCATTCCTGCTCAAATGAATGGGATTTATCTTAGCGATGACTGGCTTAGGTCCCTTTCATTTCAATAGGTCTACTCTAAGTGTAACTCACACTGGGCAACATGCAGCTGGCTCTGGTTTTGCATGCACCTGGTATTTTCGACGAACTCCGTGCAGCATTTTTTGTGCAGGAATGCAGGAACGACGTGCCTGTTGGGAGGGCAGCTGCAATTCAGCATCCCACTCAGAACCAAAAGGATGTCCTCAGGACCCAGGGCGGGAGAATGCTTAATGCCCGCTCCAAGTCCTGATCAAGATCAGCAGCATCCTCCTGCTAAGCAGCTGAAGAGCTGCACGAGATCGCCCTCTGCTGGCAGAGCGGCACGTGCCTAAGGGTGTGTTTGGCGGTGGGCCACGTGCAGGCACGCGCTGCCCGGTTCCAGGCTCCGTGCTGCTCGTGCCCGCGCACCCGTGATTCAGCAGAGCTGCCCCCGCCAACGACTTTGCCGAAGCAACGTACACCCCGCCCAGACTTCCTGAGATTGGTTTTGAAATTTCTCATTCTGTACCAGCTCCCAAACCCCACCCTGAGACTTCCTCATCTGAAAGGGCTCCAGGGGTGGGGGTGGGGCAGTGGCAGAGTAGAGGGGATGATGGGTGCGTGCATGTGCAGAAGGAGGGCCCATGGCTAGGGAATTTTGGCAGAAGAACTTAAATACGGTATTCTTAGAAGCTGTGGTAGGGCTCAGAAACGTAGGCCTTGTAAACCAGGGGGCCTAAGTTTCAGATATGTCACTGGACTGGGACATGGGAGATGCGGATTCTAGTCCCCACTCAGCCCTGAAGCTCCTTGGATGACTTTGGCACTCTCGTGAGAGGTGGATGCGGAAGCAATCCTGGGCTCCTTGCAAGAACAAAGCAGGCTATACATACAATCATAAATAAAATCCTGGAAACAGTTTCCATCTTCCCTTACCCTTTGATCATGCTGGCTTAGGCTAATGGGGACTTAAATCCAATACAGTCACAGGATTCCTACCCCTTTTCTAAACTTTGGCTTTCTTCCTCCTAATTCCAGATGTGCTGGCAGGTGGGTGAAGCTATTCAGCGGCAGAATGTGGGAGGAACAAGGAACTCTGCAGATGCTCAGTGACACCCCTTTCAATTTTCATTGCGCCTGGTCAAGGAAGGCTGAAGCCCGGTGTTGCACTGCAAATGGAGCAAGGCAGGGTGGCCTTGTGCAATAGAGGACAGGAGGCTGCGGAAGAGGGACTGTCAGCAGGTACAGCTTGTCATGCAAGATGCAGCTACTGCAATTCTGCCATCTGTGCAACCATTAAGGGTCCAAGATCCCCACCCACTTTTGTGTCTGATGACCCAAATTGCAGACAAAAGATCCAGAGCTATGGATTAGGGCCTCCCTGTTTCAAATAGTCTGAGCTCAGACACAAACTCACTAGGTGGCCTTAGGCAATTCTACTTTTCTATTGGAGGGTGTGATAAATATTGGCCTGTCCTTCAGGGTTGTACTCTAAAGCAGGGAGGGATGGAGAATGTGTAGCCCTCTAGGAGTTGGGCTACCATTCCCATTGCCCCAGAGCATTGGCTGTGCTGGCTGCGACTAATGGGAGTTGTAGCCCAATGACATGTGAAGTGCCACCAAATCTCTATCCTTGTCTAAAGACAGACATGCTTAAGTCAGTGTTGATGTTCCTCCTCCATTTGCAAGCAGAAAGAAAGGAGAGCCGGAAAGCCAGTAGCCTGGCAGGGAAAAGAATGCATGGGTGCCCCCTGCTGGTGTAACTAGGAAAGTTCTCCCTCTCAGAGCCCTTTGGTCCTTCTGTAACAATTTGAAAAGGATTCCGCCAGCCTGCACCCTCCAGATGGGTTGGACCTTGTGGATGGGGATATTGCGATCTGTAGTCCAACCTATATGGAAGGTGCCAGGCTGGGGGGGAGGCATAAAAGTGCGTCCCATATGCCATTTCAGTGAACTTTG